TATATATATATATATATTGTGGCAGTGTGTGGCAATGCCATGGTGTCATTTGGCAATATAGTCACCCAGGACTCTCAGCCGGGGGGCTGAGCAGTTGCAGAAAGCGCAAACGTTTTCTGGGAAAGAGCTGGCTTTTCAGTTCTTCCCAGGTTTTCCGGATTTGGCTTGGGTTCTTGGAAATGGGAGATTTCAAAAAGCATTGGGAGGGATGGAATCTCCAATCCTGCTTCCGGACTTTAGTAGTAACCAGCACCAAGTGGTTGTGCATCTGTGCACAGCCCTTATGAAGAGAGAATGCTGGCTAATGTTCAGGGCTCCACCTGGGAGACAGGAAAACTCCGCCCAGGAGTCATAGTGGGGTCCAGTGCAGCAGGGTGCTGCGGGTTGGAAAAACCAAGTGTGCAGGTTAGCCCGAGACTGAGACTGTCTGGAGGAACAGACAGTGGCCTGAGGTCTGAGGCCGGTGCAGCAGTTCTGGGAATGCAAAGCCAGTAGGCTGGATGGGCATGTGTTGCCAAGATATGCTAACCCCTGCAAGGGTAATTGTTTTGTTTTTGTGAACTTTCATTTAATAAAAGTGGGCAAGGAAGCCCTTAAATTAGGTTTTCAGCGGGTGGATGCGTCCTTAATGCGCTACTGTTTGGATATATATTATGTATGGATACTGTATATGGATGTATGACTGGTACTGTATACTATGCTATAAACTCTGCCCATGGGTATATAAAAAAAAAATCTTACATTATGACAACTTAAAAGTCCCATTATTTGCTTTTAATTTAGGGCATTACCTATCTTAAGTGTTTTTGTGTCTTTATCCTCCATAGGGACAAACAACATTGTCTGCTGTATCAATGAATGACATTTTGTGATATTGTTTGGCAGTTGTATACTGTATATGATGGTAAATTTGTGATGACCAGTGTTGCCCCCCCCCCCCAATCGAAACTTGAATAATGTCCGCATTCTAGCATTCTATCTATGAGGGATTCTACAATGCAATAATAGGAACTTTGTTCACTAGGTGGTATTAAAAAACAACACTGTTCACCAGGAGCATGTTCAGTTACAAATGTGGATTCAATTGATACTGTCTATTAAGCATGTGTCTGGGCTTTGAAACAATACTTTAGTAACAGTGTTGGACTTGTTAGTCTAATTAGAGATTGGTAAACTTTAACTTTAAACTATAGTAAATGTAGGTGTTTTGTGAGTCTATTGTAGGGGTAAGCTTACTCGACACTCCAGCAGTGGTGAATCTACAAATCCCTTCATGCCTCTGCCCCTAGGCATCAATGACAGTGTCACTAATTCTCTAATTACAGCTATCTTTTAATGAATAAATCCACCAATGACACACTAGCACATGGGTAGGCAACCTCAGCACCCCAGCTGTGGTGAAACTACAAATTCTATAATGCCTGTGCCCCTGGGAGTCATGCCTCTGGCTGTCAGAGTCATGCAATGCCTCATGGAGTTTCACAACAGCTGCAGTGCCGAGGCTGCCTACCCTCACAGTTAAATATCCAGCAATGTTGAAATAAGAAATACATCCAGAGTATCAGTCTATTATAATTGTGATGCTGTTACAATTCCTTTGAAGATAGGAAAACAAGAACCCCATTGATGCAGCTAACAATTTATCCTCTCAGTAGGGGGAAATTCCATCTTGATTCGATCACTGGTGGCGCTCATATTCATTTCCTGGATCAGTGGCAGTCATATTAATTTCTCGAATCAATCCCTTCATTGATGAATCCCACTAATTATTGCTGGAGGTGCTATTTCTCAAAATAAAGTAGGATGAGCTCCAGTCCAAAAAAAACCCACTGTAGTTCCTAATGGCGGAGCTGTTTAGATCAATAAATACAAAATAACAAAAAGATCAGCCTCTGAAACCAGGAAGGGTGTTGATCTGGAAATGAGCTAATCCTATACACCATGCTTGGAGATCTTTGGTTGTCTTTGGGAGGGGTGTTGTGTCTTTGCCAGACCCTAAGGCTGGGCACACACCTTACAACCATCGCAAGACTTTTGTCTTGCGATGGTTGTAAGGTACTTTAAAAAAACGTACGTTCTGCCTATCTTGCATAGACAGATCGTACTTGCGATGATCGCAAGCCACGCCCCCTGAGGGGCGGGCTTCCGATTACCGCAATGCCGAACGGCAGTGTGCGCTTGCACACAACGGCCCATACGGCTTTTATCGTACGGACATGCCACAAACCCGCCGAACATCGTATGATGCTTGGCGGGTTTTCGAACATGTCCGTGAGTTAAAAGTCGTGCGACCTTACAGTAGTAGAGGTCGCACGGCTTCCACACACCTTACGATAATCGTACGATCGCGGGATTTCCCACGATTATCGTAAGGTGTGTGGGGACCTTAAGACTAACAGTATGGTGGCCATGGGGCCAGTACTCCTACGTTCCACTTTGGGACACATTTGCATGGGGTTTGTATGATTCCCTGTAGTTGTGTGGGTTTGTTCCAGGTGCTGTTTTGTGTTTACCCAATATGTTATTAGATTAACTGATTTTCTCTCAAAGTGATTCTAGAGGCTTGGGTTGATTTGCTCGAAGGTTAGAACATAGTCAATTTGCAAATTCAATTTTCACTTATCTCAATGAATATGCTGAATATATGGTTTACTTCAATCATCTACGAACAAAATTAAATAAAAAAAAAAAAAATTCTTGCACATGATTGGGTATCCCACGCAAAGTCAAGTTTCACATAACTTTACCTCCTTCACTAGTCTTAGTGAAAATGTATTTTCCAAAGTGCACATACTCTACTCCTTTAGTAAATAAACCTGTTTGTGTTAGGGACATAAAATGGTGTGCTCCTTCCAGGAGACAGGTAATATATATGCAATGTAGTCACCCCTTTGCTGCCACTGGCATTTAAAAAAAATTAGCAGTATTATCTCCCCATAAAGTATGAACCTGGAAGTGCTCAGCTCTGATCCCTTCCAAGTTCAGAGCTGCCACTTTGGCCAGGGATGTCGATGATCGAGCACAGTCTGTGCTCTGTTGGCTTTAGCATAGGTAACATTAGACATAGAGGTAACATAGACCCACCCCATATGTGTCCTTAAGGGAACCTAAGGGGGTTGGGCTTCCTACTGACAAACCTGCACCCAATTTTATCTTCTGCCCCATGTGCTCCAAGATGGAGGCTCTGATAGTTTAGAGTTAGGACCGCACTATAAGAGGTACCTTGGCGCGGCTGTGCGGCTTTCACATTTTCTGCCGAAGATGTGTATCCAAACCTCTGTTTTTAACCTTAGTGTGAGACAAGTTCTTTTACATGCTAGCTTGTGAGTGTGCCAGGAAACCTTTTTGATATTTTACTGTTTAAAGCCCATTTCGTGTGCACCTTGCTGGTGACGAATTGATGAGTGTGTTTGTCATCTGTTTTGCTTAAGGGAACCTGTCACTTGCACTATGCTATCACATAGGGGAGCTCATAAAATATGAAATGTACATGTCTGGTGTGCATGCATACAAAAATGACAACTGCCACCACCATAAGTCATCTATCGCCGGATGTGCTGGAGTGATAGCAATATTTCTAGGCCCATCATTTACTATTAGCTCCATAATTAATGAGCTGTAAAGGCTTTCAAAGCATCTCCTATGCACAATTTTGGGTACCGTAGTTTTTTGCAGGTTCACAGCTTTTATCATTTTTTGGGTATCTATTTACTCAACACAACCTCATCATTTAAATTTAATTTAAAAAATGGGGAGCATATTGTGTTTGTTCCGTGTTCCAAGAGACCTGACAAAAAAAAAATACTTGCAGACAGCGGGGGCTTGGAAAACACACATCTATGTATGGGTAAACTGATAGTATCTCTTAAGAAGGACTTATTTTAGAAGTTTAAAATGGATGACTGGTGGACTTTAAACATGTAGTCTCCTTTCTGCTGTTTACCTTCTGCAGGCTTTGTATTCATTTTACAGCTCTCAGCCTTATTGTGTAAGCATTTACCGGCGATACTTCTGGATTCCACTTATTTTCTGAAGTGTTCCTGTTTAACGTTACAACTGTATCACATAAATGTTTAATGCTGGCCTCTCGCTGCCTCTACCGATTTTTAGCGGCTGAAATATTTTGTGCATTGTAGGAAAACATTAGAGCTACATTGAGCTTCACAAAATTTTTCTGTAGATATAAATTATATGTGTGCTATGAAACGGAAACACCTCACAACAGTTTGGGTTTTAAATGCTTACAATGTGAACCGTTTTGTGGGCTTCCGAATTCTAAAGAAAGATCGCTTTAAGATTACTGATTAAAACCAGACATTCTCCAACAGGGTTCCATGAAACTCAATGGTGCCTCCAAAGGCTGCTAGAGGTTCCTTGAGCAGTGAATAGTGACGGATTGGTCTTCTGTCTACATGGACCGATGTAAGGCACTTTTCCACCAGTTACCAATGTAAGGGACTATTTCCCCACTGTAAGAAGGGAACTTATCCACTGACCACCAATGTAAGTGAGTGAAGACATTTTTAAGAACAGTCATAGGCACTGTTCATTGGGGCATACTACGTTTCCTCAACAAAACCTGATATCTATCAACGAAGCCCAGCATTGCCTACATGCTTGCTGACTGCCTGTGTGTAGTTGACTAAGGGTGCCCACACACCTTACGATAATCGTATGATAATCGCGGGAAATCCCGCGATCGTACGATTATCGTAAGGTGTGTGGAAGGCGTGCGACCTCTACTACTGTAAGGTCGCACGACTTTTAACTTACGAACATGTTCGAAAACCCGCCGAGCATCGTACGATGTTCGGCGGGTGTGTAGCATGTTCGTAAGATAGAAGCCGGACGGGCCCGTGTGCGCAAGCGCACACTGCCCGTTCGGCATTGCGGTCATCGGAAGCCCGCCCCTCAGGGGAGCGCGGCTTGCAATCATCGCAAGTACGATCTGCCTGTCCAAGATAGGCAGATCGTACGTTTTTTTAATTACCTTACAACCATCGCAAGACAAAAGCATAAGACAGAGCCCTCCCACCACTGCTAGAAGAGAAGGGTGTGTCCTGACCTGAGTCAATTGTCAGCAGTGTGCAATCTGATCTCCCTGCTATCCGTGCCTCTAGGATTTGAGAGCTGTCCATCACTATCTGCTGACTGCATGGGGTAATCATAGATAAATAGCATGCAATGTCTGATTTATATCTGATTAAAATGCAGAATGTTGTGTCTTTAGTTTCTATGCTTGCAGTACCTTATACATATTTTATTTATAAAGTTGCACTTTATGTTTTTAGTTTCTATGTTAGTACGATGTAGCAAAAACAGAAAAAAAATATCCATTCCGTGAAGCCGGTGTTTTCATCATGAGAATGCGGCCTTGCTTAATAATGCAATAGCTTTAATAAAGTACATCCAGGAATATTATTTTACAGGTCACTGAACTGGCACCATTAATAATGTACTGAAAAGAGTGCGCATTGCAAGCGCCGGGCGGATGCTGAACTGTTATTAATATGGACAGAGTCTGCTTAGTCTTAGTGGAAAAACACACAACCAGCACCATATTTATAATCTCTGTAAGCATGAACATTTGTAGCAGATAATTGCTAATAATATGTACTGCAATGGCTGAACCTGAACCTATGTACTGTGTTGCATTACTTTATCAATATACAGTATGTCACTGGGCTCTAATAAATGCTAAGCCCATCCAAAACTAAACAAAAAATTCAGTTTTGCATGCACACTGCTGGGTGCTAGCAACCTGCTAGCAACCTCACAGAGAGGCACCCAAACTAAAATATTAGTTGTTGTGGTGCTGACTCTTAAACCAAATGTAATGTAAGCCTGCAAGTTTCTTTTTATATTTTCGGTAACTGCATAAAGGCTTCCTCCGCTGAGTGACAGGTGCTCTTTAAAAGCAGGCACAAATCTGATTTATACAAGATTTATAGCTGGGCTTCAATAAACACGGCTAATCGTCAGCAAAATGCAGTGACCTCTTCCTTACAACATAAAATCAATGTGAATGTAATCAATGGGACTTACTGGAGTTCCGGGTAAACATTCTCCAAATACCACTTGAATGGTCGGCATTTTAAGCTTCTCCGCAGCGACAGTCTCTTCTGAATGCTGGAGGGAGCAAGAGAGAGGGAAAAGAGGGAGAGAGATAGGGGAAGAGAGAGGGAGAGACATAAAGACAGAGAGAGATGAGGGGGAGATATACAGAGGGAGAGATATGAGGAGGGAAATATAAACAGGGGGGGGAGACACAGAGAGGGAGAATGAAAGAGAGCAAGAGAGACAATTTTTTTGGGGGGAGGGCGAGAGAGAGAGAGTGTGTGTAGAGAAATAAGAGAAGAGGAATAAAGAGAGTGTAGAGAAGAAAAGAAGAGAAGAAGAGGGAGGGAAAAAAGAAGAGAAGAGTACAGAAAGAAGTGGAAGAGAGAGAGAGTAGAGAGTATAGAACACGAGAGAGAACGAGTAGAGAAAAGGAGAAAGCGGAAAGGGTAGAGAAATGGATGGAATAGAGAAAAAGAGAGACAGAGAGAGAAATTAAAGAAGGTTGAAGAGAGAGAGTGAGAATGAGAATGAAAAAGGATAAAGAAAGAAAAGGTAGAAAGAAAAAGAAAAAGAGAGAAGACAGGAGAGGAGAGGAGAGAGAGAGAGAGAGAGAATTGGGAAGAGGCACAGAGAGAGAATTGGGAAGAGGCACAGAGAGGGGATGCAGTTAAAGAAAAGGAAAGACAGCGAAAAAATAGAAAGATGCAGAGAAAGAAAGACAAACAGTGAGAAAGAGATGGGGAAAAGACAGAGCGGAGAGATGAGAAGAGGAGGGGAGGTGACAATAGAGAAGAATGAATAAAAAAAAGGCAGTGAGAAAGTGCAAGAAGAAAGTGTAAGAGGCAGGAAAGAGACAGAGAGAGAGAAAATGATTAAGTACTGCGGCCAGAAGACAGGTACTGCAAAATATAACAGTTTATTCCACTCTTTCCACCACTGACAGGATCATTCTTTACAGGAAGACAATGGTGCTACTGCTTATTAACCCAAACCTGCAACAAAGAAAAACTGAGCGGTTTCCTGGAAAGGTCTCTGAGTGAATATTGTTTTTAAATTGCCCGGGGTGCTGCATCTAAGTATACCATGGATCACGGACAGGCCAGGTGTGTTTTGCTGACATGTATTTTGAAGGAATATGGAACGTGGTTGTATTTCGTATGAAGCAGGAATAACTTGTATTTATTATTGCTTCTGAAAATCACAGCATTGGGTTCTTGTGAGCATGGTTCGTCTTATGCTGCAGCTTCTTAACTGCTTTTATAATTCTGTACAAGCCTTTGGGAATACAATATGAAGACACTGTATATGCATCTCAAATACAAACCATTTCCACTGATAGTAAGCTTGGTGTGAACTGCCTCGAAGTATGATGCAAGTGTACACTGACCCTAATATAAAACAAAACAGAGTGCACCGGATAGCACACTGAAAACTTTCCTTTTATCAATAAAATGTAAATGAATTGCATTAACAAAGAAGCAACCTGATCAGAGAATTGACCCAGGTAGACCAACTCCTATCATGTCAGGCCACACCTATAAAATGACGGGGTGTTTAATAAAGGACTTTTTTCTATGGTGTGGTTGTTTTTAATTTTTTGTATTTATTTTTTGTGAATGGTATTGATTTTGAGGGGGGGGGCCCCACACCGGCTTTTTGCTTCTTTAAAAAAATAAAATAAAATTGTATCGTCCCTTTAATAAAAAAAAAGACCCCAGTGTGATTTTGGGTACAGTAGTTTTTTGCAGGTTCACAGCTTTTATCATAATCAATACCAGATCCTTATCCAGGCATGCAGCCATACAAGGCAGCATGGCATCAAAGCCAGTCAATCGTGGGAGGGTACCTCGTAGGGGGGCTGCAGAGCCACACCACCTTTGCAAGGCACCTTCTGCCCATGTTGAGGAGGACGAGGGCCTCATCCCCACATCCCTAGCCCGGGGTTGTTGGGATCTATGGGAAAAGGGGAGATTGATTGTAATCTGTAAAGCCCTTTTAGATGCTGCCTTTTTGTTATTATTATTATACAGGATTTATATAGCGCCAACAGTTTGCACAGTGCTTTACAATATAGCAACTACCATTGCAAATGGAAACCAGGTGGTTTCTGGATATAACCTAACCATCCGGGGATGCTGGCTGACATCATGCGTTTTCCATTCAAACTCATGTAATTGTGTTTGAAGGGAAAAAGCAGCACTTTGCAAGAAATGGCTGTGCTTGCCTTGCTTTGCCTGTAACTCAATTGCACCTTAATAGGTCTTTTTATGTCCAATGAAATGCAGCGCAATGCAAAACAGGTCAAACGCAGCCTTTGAACTGCCATGTGTACTGCTTAGTACTGGGGCACCAAAGACTGTAATAATCCTCACTGGGTCACTGTTGGCTAGAACTATACTGGCTGGGGCATCAAAGACTATTGTAATCCTCACTGAGTCACTGTTGGCTAGTATTATACAGGCTGGGGCTTCAAAGACTATTGTAATCCTCACCGAGCCACTGTTTGCTAGTACTATACAGGCTGGGGCATCAAAGACTATTGTAATCCTCACGAGTCACTGTTGGCTAGTACTATAGGGGCTGGGGCATCAAAGACTATTGTCATCCTCACTGGGGCGCTGTTGACTAGTACTATACAGGCTGGGGCACCAAAGACTGTCGTAATCCTCAATGGGGCAATGTTGGCTAGTACTACACAGGCTGGGGCAACAAATACTATTGTAATCTTCACTGGGGCACTGTTGGCTAGTACTGTGCAGGCCGGGGCACCAGACACTGGTACAACACAAGGGTTTAGGTGGGGCAGATAATGTATAAAGTGACAGGCTGAATGTCAATGTAGCATAGATACTGTAGAGCTAATGGATACAGTTATAATCTACTGTATGTCTATGGCACTTGAGGGTGCTACATTTAGGTCAGGACACCAGAGAATTGCATAACGAGGGATATTTACAATTATAACATCCTGCCATGCTCCTTGCATCTTATTGTCCATAAAACGTGACAGAGAAGCAGCCGATGATGCCAAGGTGAAATTAAGTTTGTTTGCTGATTGTTATTTCGGTAATTGACTTGTGATGAAAAATACGGCATGCTATTTAGCATTACATGTTACTAAGAAGACAGCTTAATTGGCTAAAATGCATAATAATATTACCACTGCGACTCCGCGTTAAACGTGATAGCGGTCTCTGGAGAACGTGAACAGCGGATGCTGAATAATTTATTTATTGCCTGTACGGGTTTTAATTAAAAATATTCAAATGGTTAAAAATTCAGAGAACGAGGGGGGAGTCGTTCTCACTGGCTTATAGAAGTGAGAATAAACACAGTACATCTGGTGTTTTATTCCAAATTCATTTCAGTCAATTAAACGGGGTATAAAACACATCCAAATGATACATTGTTCCTTTTTTTTAAATCAGCGACATGAGTACATTTGCTGGGGACATGGCCAATTCTGTGCGGCATGAATTATTCTGTCCCTCAACTCAGAAATGTCACTCATTGTCAAGACTTGGAACGTTGCTCTATAAAGCCAAGAGTCATTTCATTCCGATTTCTACCTGCAAAATATTTTCCATCCATCCTACCTTTTCTCCATTAATCACCTCCCTCCATGTTTTACAGGCTTATGTTTTCTAAAGCAAAGCAATTAAATATAATACAAGCATTGTATTTTCTCCAGAATTGGAGTGATGCGAGTAGGGATGAGGTTCAGGTTGGGAGGCTCCTTGGGTTTGAGTTGCATCTCATGGTTTCGGCCAAACTTATGGCTGAAAATTCACACCTGAACCCTTAATGCACTGCATAACCCTTGTGCCTGGTCAAATGGGTTGCCTGCGCTTGCTTGCTAGCCTCTATGCTACCCCTTTGCAGAGGGGTCTTTTGTCTTTAATTAAAGTTTTTTTATATTTTATTTTGTGCTAGGGTTAAAAACAAATAGTGGGCTTTTGTTTTGCATGGTTAGTCTTAAAGAGTATATATCTATACAGTGTGGGTATGTATATATACAGGGCTTGAAAAATCCACTCGTCCACGACGAGAGGACGGCGGAGCCCGATGAGCAGCTTCCCGGCCGGCCATTGTAATTACACAGCCGGCCGGGAGCTTACAGTCAAGCGATCGAGTGTCTCTAGAGACGCCCGATCGCTTGTATTACCAGCAGCTATCACTGCCGTTGCCGGTCCCGAGATCCGCTGTGCCCGATGCGGCCGGGACCGTCATGGCTCTGTGACAGGAGATCAAAGGGAGTTCAGTATACAAACTCCCTTTGATCTCCTCTCAGTCCCCGAATGCATGAAGTGATGATGCCCATCTCTGATTCATCAGCTTCTCTGGGGGTACCTAGGTGACATTAGGGGTCTTCGAGACCCCTGATGTCTCCATAAAGAGGATCTGTCATGTAAATTGGCTATCCCACAGGGGGCTTCTTAGCCCCCCATGTAATAGCAATAAAGTTGTGTGTAAAAAAAAAAAAAAAGTAATACAAAAATTAAAGAAGCATAAAAAAATGTAAGAAAACATTTTTTTTAAGTCCCCGCCCCCACATACACACGCATATATGCTTCGGGTGCGCCTACGTGCGAAAAAGACGATTGCACCTATTGTGCCGCACATGTTATATATCGCCGCAAACGTCGGAGTGAGAACAATAATTTTAGAGCCATTAATCACTGATAACACTAAACTGATGAGCAGTAAAAGCATTTTAATCGTCGCCTAAGGGCGTTTTTTGCAATTTTGCGGGCGCACGCAATTTTAAGGCTTGACATGTTTGGTGTCTATTTACCCGACATGACCCCGACTTTATGTTTTACAAAAAATATGGGTAAGAATAAATGTTTTATAACATAATGTAGGGAAACTTTTTTTTTTTTTACATTTATGGTACTTTTTTTCATTATACAGTATATATTGTGATATTGGGAAGCTCACAGAGCACTCGCACAGCGGGTTTTTCAAAACACAAGTCTTTTTTTTATTTGCTCTTGCAGGGCAGCAGAAAGTGATGAACACAAAATATGCGCTTATCTCCAGCACAGATAACAAAACAAAGAGGTCTC